GAAATTGAAATTATCAGCGCAGCGAAGGTTTGCAACGGCCGTTTGATGTTTAGTGTGAACGTTTCAAGGTATTAGGCATCGTTGAACAGCACTAGACAGCAGCCCAATTTCTAACGAAACGCTGCGAAGAACTTGCTCCAAAGTGCCGAGTTACAATGAATTGCGAGAAATAATTCCATTGGCAACAAAAATAAGCTGTTGCGATCGTCAGTGGTTGCTTCTGGAGTTTCACCTTGTAAGACTTCGAAGCGATTCAAAGTAGGGTTTGCTCGACCTCGGGAGCTTGCAAGCTCGCCGGCGGCCGGTGTTAGAGATGCGCCGGCGACGCGCTTGCCCCGACCGCCGGCGACGCCCTCACTGCGACCACCGGTACCGCAGGCGACGGTGGTTAATGGGAGTATCACCAGTATGTAACCGGCGGCAGCGGTATAAAGGCCGTGCTACGCCGTCGGTATCAAGCCGGCGGCGGGGCGAGCTCACATTGCCCCACCGGCCGCCATGGCGAGCTCTACGAGCTGGCACCAGCCACCGGCGAAGCGAAGAATGTGAGGCGCTTTTTTTCTAAAAGAGCCTAATGCAGAAACTGAAACTAGGATAAATTTCACTAGGACTTAAGGCATGCCTAAGTATCTTGCATTTTTAGAACTGTTTTAATCGAAATTGGGCAATTCGTTATTGTAAAACGAGCTCAAAAAGGTGGTTCCTAATAAAAAACGCCCCAAGTTGTCCAACTGTTTCAATCAAAGTGAGCCACAATAATTAAACCAGCACTGCGCTAACAAACATAATAAAAACAACATGGTCTCACCCAAAATATTTCATTTGTGTCTTAGTTGCTTTGTTATCAAGTTTACGTTCCAAAATTTCGTTTTCTAGCCTGAGTTAGCACTTACTGAAGGACATGATGTTGAATGACAAAACTCGATGGTAAACAGTAAGAGTCTGACTTGCCTACTTCTTTTTGCCTCTTAGTGATTCTTTTCAACTTTAGCGCAACAGTATCTTATCCTCCATTCACTTCAACACGGTGTACTTGAAATAAGATCGGCAGAAAATAAAAACGTTCGGCGTTTATCCATTCCTAAATAAGAAGAAGTGGTCACAAATTACATGGTATAAAACTAACTGGAATGTTTTTCAAGACTTCTTATAGATGCCAGGAACATGGAAACGCTGATGACAGTCCAGAGTGGGGCCTTTTTTGGCCAGGAAGAACCATGCGCTCTTCAAGTCTAGTTATCACTATTGCGCTCATGTGCCGAAGCATGGATTCAACAGAAGCACGAAAATGATGTCAAGTTTATTGCAAAATATTGCTATACCGTATGTTCGAACCGTTTTACACTTGTTTGAAAAGCTACTTCATACCGAAAGAAAATGTTTCAATCTATATGGGCCAAATTCAAACTTTACTCCACACTACTGATGCTATTTGGTTATGTATATATTAGCCACAATATCGATTTGTGGCATTTGGGGACAAGAACATACTGGAAAAAGTTGTTTGAGCAGGCCCAACCATATTGTCAGTAGAAAAAAGTGCGTTTTTATCAGTTTTATTTGAAGTGCATATGGCCCTTTAAAAAAAATTGCATCTTTGACGCAAAGGCGAAGCAATGAACGCAGTAGCAACAAATTGGAAGGTCACGCGCAGAATCGCAAGCAGACCGAAACGTGCCCCGCGTTTCTCACGCACAAATAACGCACGAAACGTATACTCACAAGTACTCATGAATGCGAATAAGCGTCTCATTTGTTACTTCGCTCTGTCTGAAAAGTGCACCCTTTTTGCAAACGGAGACAGTGCAACGATTGCAGTGACCTTTGTGCGCCGGTAACTACAACAGAATAGTTCTGTTCAAGATGCTCCCTACCACGAGATAAGGGCACGCGAGCGTGCGTTCAGGGGCTTTACGACCACCAACTCCTCTCCGCGAGACAAAGTACGCGTGGAAGGTGAGGGCGCACGTCACCGCACGCTCATTGTGCCATCTTGCTGGTAATGCTGAAAACACAATAGTTCTCTCCCCCCACCCCCCGAGATAACCATCACCAGCAGTAAGTGGTAGATATAAATAGCTTGCCGTTTGCACGTTGGAGGACATGCTCCTTGATGGCTCAGTGGTTAACGCCTCGCCCTCACGATGCAGAGGATCCACGTTCGATTCTACGTGCGCCGGAGTGTTTTTCTGAGTATATATATATGTATATATATATATATATATATATCTATATATATATATATATATATATATATATATATATATATATATATGTGTGTGTGTGTGTGTGTGTGTGTGTGTGTGTGTGTGTGTGTGTGTGTGTGTGTGTGTGTGCGTGCGTGCGGGCGGTGAGTGCCGGCGGGAAAATCCAACCGAGAATGCCCTTATAATTGATATCGCAATAAAAAAAGACGCCTCATGTGTTTCACAGAAAATAAAGGGTGCTGGTAGAAATAACAGCTTTGTCTCTTCTGCGCCGAGCGAGGCAGAGGCACACAGAATCAGCGTACTCATGCATTGCGTGCAACAGGAACCGCGCGACTGCGAACCGTCTCGTTCAAGTCTGTCGCTCCGTAGCTTACACTGAATGGGTAGTGGACACCTATTCCTTTGCGCGTGAAAAATAATGACGACGAAAACTTCATAGCAGTAAGCATTTCGTGATCACCAGCCATCTTTCATCGTATTGCCGTGCCGTACTCTTGAGTGTTATATCGGTCGAACGCGGTATAGCGGCGGTGTCGTGGTTTTTCGCCGGTGCAGCTGAATGCGCACCGTTGAAGTGTTCATGCATGTCCACTCGGGCTGTGTGTACGATTTGGTGTATTATAAGGATTCGCACACAGTACTGCTACTGAAAATTCAGTTTATGCGACTGTGCACCAGCTGATAATTAGGTTCCGCTATAGTTAAAAAAAAGCTTCCAATGTTAGACGGGTTTAGAATAAAAAGCATGTGTGTTGATGGGTTTCCATCAGGCCACCACATATTTATACTTACGCCGTGAATCTATATGGCTTCATTATTCGTAAAAGAAGGGTCCCTCTAGAGCTACATGGGAGGTCAAAATACCGTGCCTATAAATGGTGGCAGTAGTGTACTTGCGAAGCGCGAGCGGCAGGTTGTGGTCAGTGTGAGCGTTGTAATATTACGAGAACACTGTGTCCACGTTTGTGTGCGTGTGTTAAATGTGTGCGCTTCGAAGGTAATTTAATCAAAGTTGTGCTTGCGCATGGTACAGGTGCGGACAGCCATTTTTTTCTCAATGGCTGTGAAAATTTACCCCAATACTGACCTGAAAAAGTTCCCTGATGAATGTAAATAAAAACTTTCCAAGTCCATCCAAAAACCACTTACTGTGTTAAGGAGTAACTTTTTTACTCTCTTCAGGCGGTAAATCAATCAATCAATCAATCAATCAATCAATCAATCAATCAATCAATTAATAATTTAAGCACTCAAAGCTTTTTATTTCTCTTCCCTTTGAAAAGAGAAACAAGGTGGGACAAAAAGCTACATTTGCGGCTTGACAGGGGTCCCTGCCTTTTTCATTTTTGGCATGGTGTATATAAAAGCCTCATCGGGGCATGCACTAGAGCAGTATTTCTCGGTCATGGATGTGTGGGGGCCCCTTGTAGACTAATGGAAGTGATGGGGGACCCCTTGCAGTAAAGGAGAAGGAGGGAAAGGATACGTAGGTAAATTAACACAGCTGGAGTGTGAAACATGTTCCTTTTCTTGCGACCAAAAACATCAAACAAACATGCCACATCACTTCATTTTGTAGAAAAAAAATGTAAAAAATTAAAAAAAAGTGGTTGAGGGTTTCGCGGATCATAGAAAAGGCTTCACGGACCCCCCTTTGAGTATCACTGCGAGACTAGAGGAAAAGTCGTTTACTCCCATCTCGGCTTATTTTTGTTTACATTGTCGGTCTGATTACAGCCCTTTGCCGGGAAAAGGGTCTAGAGGAAGATGATTAGCAAAGGATGTTACAAAAAAGAGGAGGATGGAAAGGATAAACAATAATGCCTAAAGTCTGTCTTTCAGACCAGTTACCCGCAAGACACGCAACAACGCATTCAAGGCCTTCTACGACGAGGACCGTGCGAAAGATAATTATAAGGACTGTCCAGTGGTCAGCTTAACAAGCTGCTAACAGTGACAAAGAAGGAGCTTTCGCCAAAGAAGCTCTGCAAGACAAGTGATAATATTAGTTATTGTGAATGAGCAACGCAGCACCCAAGTCCGACAATAGGAGGCCACATTTGCTGGATATGGAGTTTACCACGGTACTGCGTCATAGGGTTCTCGGCAGCGTAAGAACGGGATCGGCCTACACATTTGGACCCCGTATGTATGTATTGCTCGTAATAGGGAACTGAATACAACAAACTGGGCGATATATACTATTACATGCCGTTCTACAAGTGCTTTTGCCCGAAAGAATTGAAAAATAGGGTTTCCCCACTGAACCGATTACGTTTCCGGAATGTACCAAGTAATAGTTCTCAAGACAGGAACAGCTTCAAAGAAGGAATAGTATTCCGGAGTAGTTCTCAAGGAAAAGCCTGTTATTATTTTATCTTACCCGCGAAAGACTGGCATGAGTGACACTTTGTCTGAAGAGGCAATCCGGCGGACAAGTTGCTGGAAAGGCCTGCCAGGCTAGCTTCGTCTGTAGCCACATCTTCATCCAAGGTCATAAATTTTTAGACGCTTCTTTACATTTTTCAATAGCAAGCAACGTTTTAAACGCTCAAGTATTCCGCTCTCTTTACTGTGCTTCATCACTAAGTTCTACTTTCATTTGTGTCTTTGTGGTAGAAAACGTTTCCGCGTCTGGGGAAATATACTCGCCCATGACAACATCAGCTTAAATATAAAGACGGAAAGCTTGCAGCCCCCTGTGAACAGGAATGGCCCCTATCTGTAGTCATGCCCCTGTGTTTGTGCGCAGATACTAGCACATACCATTATGGTGTGAAGACGACTCACCTGCCCTGGCAGAAACTGGTCGCCTCCAAAGGCAGACACACATGGCTTGATTCCACCTGTTCCAAAAGCGATGACTGCTAGGCCAATCATTGGAATCCAGCTGAAAAAAGCCCATCAGGATGCCTTTTCAAAAGAATGTACTAATCTTAACCTTTAGTCATTCGTGAAACTGGGCAACTCCTCGAGGGTCTACTGGCCGATGGCCAAAAACATTTGCGAACGGAAACAGTTCCGAGTTTGGCTTCAATACGCATTGCAACTAACGCGCGCGCCAGAACTTTTCAGTTTAAAATACCTTAACCTTTTCGAAAATTTCACAAGAAAGCACTCCAAAAGAACAAACGCCATCAATATCAAGCACATTCCTTAAAATAAGGACACATGACAGACTCGTATCCTCAGCCAGTAATGGCTTATAGGGACCTAAATGAGGCAGAAATTCATGGAAAGATGGAAGCTAAAAGCGGTGGAAGGTCGTTGAATGCCACTTGGTTTGACATGTTGAAAAGTATTATAGAAGTCATGTCTAGGTGCTGACTTAAGTGGCATTTTTCGTTTAATGGTTTCTCGTGAATTCCGAAAGATTTCACAGCTGTCGTTACCAGTATTTTTGGCAAATTATCTGTGAACAACTATTTTAATTGCTTGATAAGCACTGAATGACAAAGCCACAACCCTCTTTGGGAGATATTCATACAATATGAAGACAGGGACACAGACAGCCTATACAAGGAAAACATGCAGAATTTTAGATTCACGCCAACTTCAAACATTTGTTGATAAATAACACATCTGCTCAAAAGCAAGAAGCACGTATAGCAGTGCAAGTAGATAAAACAACCTCAGCAGTCACACAAGTTGTTGTAAGTGTTCGCGTAAGAAGGAATTACCTAGCTTTTTTGCCGCACAGAATACTACAAACAAGACTCACGTTGACTGGCTTACACAATCTTAAAAGGATGCTTCAGAACAAAAGTCATGAAAATTGTTTGGAGGCAACTCAAGGCGAAAAGCCAGGCATTCAAACAAGGTTTATGTTCTGGTGAAGGTAGACGACTGAAAGTGAAACAACTAGATTCGTGCTTGAAGGAGTACTTAGACAGGAATGAGCAAACGTCCAAAAATACACGTGACTTGAGTACACACCCGGAAAGTTAGCCGCCAATCGTTGATCCTCTCATTCGCGATATTGTTGAGCAATATCATACTCGTGAGCATATTCATATTAGCTCGACAGTTTCATTGGGCTACCTCTGGCTAAGGCTAACCAGTGTTGGTTTTAGCCCTTGCTTATTGATGGGTATACCACCGACTTCCTAGCGTTGGACAGTGATGTGCAATGTCGGTTCACAACCAATCATTGCAAATCTTCCGTGGCGGCGTTTCATGAAGGATAGCTGCAGCCTATTTCTCGGTTTGCACTGGCGCGGTCTGCGTTCCCTGGCGTAACTTTCTCTTTGTTGGTAATTGTGGGTGAGTGTTGCGTCATACTTCCTCCCCTCTCTTTCATCTAGGCGTCCCTCTCCGCGGCGAAAACACCCCATTGCACATGTATACGTCCCATCCTCCTATCTCGCCTCGCAACGCCAACACAGGCAGCGTCTGCTTGCGAGTTTTTTGACAGAGAAAACCGACTGCTCGCGCTGTACAACCATTCACAGGCCACCTCGTTTATATAGGCACTGGATCTTGGCTTCCAAGGTAGTGCCGATGGGACATTGCGCTGGTGCATTGTTGAACAATAAAAATTCACTGCGTGCGCAGTATTTAAAAGGGGACTGTGTGTCTTTGTGTCTAATCGAAGTCTTCTCTTCTGACTTTCTTTCTCCATTAGTAATGATTGGAATTTTCTAGTAAAGAAACGCTGGTTCATGAAGGCGTGCTTTGCACCTCCCTATAGGTGTCTCTCCTGGACAACGCCGCAATGAGCCCCAGCGTCAACGCCGCCAGTGTAACCGTTTGCACCCACCGCATCCCCGCATAATTCCCTTTAGCGGGAGATGGCGTGATTTATACATATGAGGCGCTGTGTTAAAAAAAAAGGCAAATGTACAAACGGAAATTAGGGTAAATTTCATAGGAGCGTAAATCACGCCTATGTATGTTCATCTTCAACTTTTATAACAGTTTTAGTCAAAATTGTGCAACTCTTTATTGTAACGTGAACACAATACGGCAGTTTTCAATCAAAATGAGAATACTTCCACTGTTTCTATCGAATTAAGCCACATTCACAAACCAACACCGCACCAACAATCGTGACTAACACAACAAACTAGACCACAATAAAAATCTTTCATTTGTGCCCTAGTTGCATTGGTATGGTGCTTACGTTTCACAATTAGGTGTTTGGAGGACGAGGAAGCACTTACTGAAGCACATCATCTTCAAGGAGAAAGCTTGATTATAATGAGTAAGAAACGGACTTTCCGATTTTTTTTGCCGCTCAGTGATTTCTTCTAGATTTAGTCCTACAGCATCCTCTCCTACATTGGCTCCAACACGGTATACTTGAAATAAATTACACTTGAAGTGAAGATATTGGACATCCACCCATTCTCTAGAGAACAATAAGTGGTCCGAAACATTATGAAATAAAACAAGCTACACTTTTCAAGGCTTTTTATGAATGCCAAGAAGAAAACACCGCTGAAAGTCCAGAATAGCGCACGTTCGCCCTCTTTAAGTCTTGTAGTCGCTATTACGCCTATGCGACAAAGCACGACAATGACTGAAGTACAAGGATGGCGTTAATTACGTCGCAAAGTTTTGCTATATTATACACTCATACCGTTTTACACTTGAAACGAAGTGTTCTAATCTACACGAACCAAATAAGAACTTTACTAATCAATACTGATGATATTATGAGCGGCAGTGCCGGGCGATATGTCTTATGCCAAGGCACGTGATACACATGGGTCTATCATCAGGTGTACGTTTTGACCTTAGTTTCGTCGAGGCGTGAAAGTGGAGTTCGGAGCAAGGCTAAGCATTATCGCGATACAAGAGTATCACGATAATATTTCAGAGATATTTTTGAGTATCTGTATTGCTGTATCGAGATACTTCTACAAATGTATTTGTATCTCAGTAGTGAAATACTTTTATGATGTGTTGCCTCTATCGTGATACTATCCAGGACAGGTATCTCGTTATTTTTTTTAGCAAATGAGCTGAGACATGTTTACAATGGGAAAAAAACTTTCTGCTGTGACCTTGGCAGCTCGTGGCGAGATATGCATCCACCGTTTCTACATTTCTGCTGAGGGCGAAACTGACTCTTACCTTCGTGAAAGTGAGCTAGTCGCTTTGCCACCCGTATCCCATTATGCATCTTCAGGCAGAACTGGAATGTGTTTGAATGATTGCCTGCTGGAGCTTGTAAACAATGTTGTTCTGCAATTTTTATTTCCAGCAGTGATATTTTCGTTGTGAGGAGCATTGTATATTGCATATTGGACGTCAACCAACAGCGTCGTTTTAAAATTTGTTCCCTCATGCCAATTGCACGTGCAGTGTTTTTTCTCTTGTTTCTTTTCCTCTTTTCCTTTTTCAGCACCCATTTGAAAAACTGGAGATAGTCACAGAAGCCACAAACCACGCAAAGAATTTGGTGTGTGGTGCCATGTGCCATCAAGGACACCTCTTTCTCTAAAGCCTTTGTGGAAGACATCAGCGTGAACACATGGCGATTGAAAGGAGGTTTTTTTGCGTTTCTTTCCGCATTCCTTGTTTTGTTGGTTCTTATTTCTGCTTTTTCTATATTTCTAGCAACCACTAAACCTTCAATTGGAAGTAAGCGCTTGTCTTCATTGTTTATGTGTTTCCATCTTGCTTCACACTAAGCCACTTTGGCAAAACTGGAAACCAACGAGCCTTAACCGCTAGTCGACTAAGTAGAAGGTGGTTGGAAGTAAGCACCGCAGTTATAGTGGGAGCAGAGAATTCAGAAGCCTCACTTTCTTTTTTTAGTCAGAGACACGTGCTGACCGCTGTAAATAAAGGCATACCTTTTCTCAATCCGTTCGTTTATAGTTCCAGCACTTCGCCTGAACTATGCTACTTCTAGCAAAGCTAATACTGTTGCCACCAATTATCCTGATTTCAGTGTACAATGCGTGTGACTCTTCTTCTCATACAGTATAGTTTTTATTGCAACTGATATCTGTAAATATGTCGTTATTACCAATTATGTCCAGTGGAAGCCTCTTTTGTAAAGCCTTAATGGCACTGACAGTACGGTGATAAAATAATGAATAAACTGAATTGCAAGTGTCAATGCACTGCAAATTTTAAATATTATGCTGCACAGAGCAAACGTCTGTACGGAAAATACCTATCCCCGACAAAGAGAAAAGTATTGAAGTAGTTCTATTGCTGTATCTGTATACCTGAATACTTTTTTGTGTTTTTGCGAAAGTATCTCTGAAAAATTCTGTTACGTCACTTACAAATGTATCTCAGTATCTGTATTCTGTGCTTCCAAACAGCTAATTTTGATATCAGTATTCCGGAATACTTAATCGGCTATCTCTGCCCAGCCCAGGTTTGGAGTAACCACCGCAACGACGGGAGGAGCCGAAACAGGAGTCAAATTGACCTTTTCTGAAGTCGGTACGACGCCCATATTCGAAATCTCTTGGTAGACTACGTACGGCCTGTATTAATGAAACAGGAGAGAACTAGTTCCCTCTTGTGCTGTAATTAAACATAACAAGTGCCATAGTTTCGAGTTCCCAACGGGCAATCCTGGTGACTTTTTTCCGAGCTAGTGGTTGGCCCGATCTTCACAGGATGACGTAACTGCCGAGTTCGGAAGACGGTCGAACTCGTGAACGATGCGCCTACATTTGGCCTGCGACGACATGCTGCTATGACCGACCCTACGTTGAGTAATCATTGTGCTTACGGTGTCATCGGCAATTCCTCTTAGTATGCGCCCGACTTTCTCCTCTTCAAGCAATTCCCTCTCTACCTTGCGGCACGAAGCCAATACATCACCGATGTAAGTGATGTACGGCTCTTTGGACGTCTGTGCATGGATCACAAACTTTTTCTTTGCGACCACTTGTCAGCCGAAAGGCTTCCCAAATGAAT